TGCCAAGGATGGTCTTTGACAAATCACCTTCAGAGATATCGGATCATCTGACGAACCGAAAGAAACGACTGCATAAGAAGTCAAAGACAGGCTGCAATGACTGCAGGAAGCGTCGGGTCAAGGCATGTTTTTCCTTCACTTCGTTCATTGTGATTACCTCATATGGTGGTACCAGCCTTCTGATTCTGCGTGGTAGTGTGATGAGAAAATACCAGCTTGTACCGCTTGCGTCCGCCGCGGCGATGTATGCGTCTATCCATCCCCCATAATCAGCCATTCCTCACCGGCTTCGGCTCAGCAAACGGATGAGGCAGCACTCGCTGCTTCGTTGAGGGTACCAAGGATCGTCGAGCCCCATGAACAATCAGCATCATCAACCACAACCTTTACCCCCGATGATCTTGCCTTGCTACACTACTGGACAATCTCAACGAGCTTAGACATCGTCAAATCCCCCGTCGGTGATCACTATTGGCAAAAGACGTTCCCAAATATTGGATTCCAGTATACCTTCGTCATGCACGGAATTCTAAGCGTGGCCGCGCTGCATCTCGCCTACAGACACCCTGCTGACAAACCGCGGCTAGTCTGTATAGCCGCCTATCATCACAACATAGCACTACGCGGATTTCAGAATGGTATTACCCGAGTAAACGATGGAAATGGTGATGCGTTGTACGCATTTTCTTGCATAAACATTGTCTATGCGCTGGCCTTCTTTGGACCTCTCTGCGATGGCGCTTCTATCGACAGCAAGTCCCGCATTCTTGGAGACGGATGGATCCCAGCGATACGCGGCGTTGACGCAGTACTACATCCCGTATATGATAGGATATGTCGAGGGCCACTGGATGACTTGACAAAGATCGGCAACTGGGATCAACTTGATCCAAACCAGCACCCATTCCCTCACGACGACCATTTCCGCAGTATAAAACAAGCTTGGGAGAACAATAACGACGCAGGCATCTACGACGAGTCACTCTATCTACTCCGGAAATGCAACGCGTATATGAAACAGTTCGAGACAATGAGCAGTGAGGCTAGAGCTGAGTGGGGATATAATCAGGACTGGTCAGCACCACATATATGGTTGCACGCGACTTCCAAGGAGTATCTTGACTTGTTACAAGAGCGAAAGCCACCGGCATTGCTTATCTTTGCATATTTCGGTGCTTTAGCACATGCTTTGGACGGATCATGGTTTATGGAAGGTTGTGGTCGAAGTATAATAATTGTTGTAGATGAACTACTAGGAGGATACTATGACCAATGGATAAAGTGGCCGAAAGACATTATTGGTATAAAGTAATAAAAGTAAAATTACATATATATCTTAATATTTATTAATTAAAGGACAAGAACTTCTAGAAAGTCCCTAGAATTATACACTGGGCAAACCTTGGCTCCTCTCCTTAAAAGCAATGCCACCACCGCCTTGTGACCTCCTTCTGCTGCCAAGTGAACTGCTGTTTGTGTCACTATACTCGTGTACTGACGTAGATCTTGAGGCCCCAATCCTTGCCGCCGGCGACTGGATGAGTCTTGCGTTTTATAAGTGCTCTGAGCCCCGCGAGATGTGGTCTTCTTGGTAGAAATATCATCAATGCCGGCTCCATGATTCAATAAGAGACAGATCATAGCTTCTTGCCCATTGCCAGCTGCCAGATGAAGTGCAGTATTTGACTCCTCGATGAAGAACTCCTTACCCTCACGTCCCAAATGACGATGGGACGTCCATCTTTCAGCGTTGATGGGTGTTCCCTTTTGTAGAAGGGTCTCCACCACTGCCAGTTGCTCATTCTCAACCGCCCAGTGCAGAAGTGTATCATCTCGCTTGTGAGTCGCCTCAACCGTTACCGTTTTCAACTTGGATTGCTGGTCAGGGATGGCGCTGCTATTCACGAGTAGCCTCAAGATCCTTTCATATCCCTTACTCGCGGCAGACCCAAGCAAACTTCCAGCCCGGGCTACCTGCGTCCTCGTCAGCAGCAACTCAACTACCCTCTCGTGACCACCTGCCACCGCACAATCAAGAGCCGTGTCCCTACAACAAGATTCTAAGCGGTTTGCGCCGACTATGTCCGTAGCAAGTAGCAGCCTGACTACCGCCTCGTGACCGTTTCTTGCTGCAAATGACAATGGTGTCTGATTAGCTATATCCGCCTGGTCCGCGAGGACCCCTTCCTTCTTGAGAAGGGCTTGGACCACTGCGGTGTATCTATTTCCTGCGGCCAAGGATAAGGGCGTTCTTCTCATCGCATCAGTTGAGTTGGGATCAACATCAAGTCTGGAGAGAAGCAGCCTAACAACTGCCAGATGGCCCTCTTGCGCGGCAAATGATAGTAGCGTTCGCTTCAAGAGCCCTTTATGGTCTGCCGAGATTCCTTGCTTGGCAAGCAACATCTTGACAATGGCGGTGTTCCCTCTCTTTGCGGCGCGACACAGTGAGGTCATGTTGGACATCTTATCTTCTGAGTTAGGGTCGACGTCATCCCTGGATAGGAGTATCTTAACAACCTCTTCTTGCCCGTATGTTGCAGCATATGACAAAGGCGTCGGCCAATTCACTCCCTTAGAATCTGCAGGATGACCATTCTCCAGCAAAGCCAACACTGTGTTCGATAGCCCAAAAATTGCGGCAGTTGGCACCTCGGTTGCCATGAGCGAGCTCTCTTCAAGTTGAACCAATGCATCAGGGTGGAAAGCCATTATCGCCTGGACTGAGGCAGATAGCTTAAATGGACTTTCAAGTAAATCCAGGATCATCTGGTCTCCATCCATAGACGCCGTGAGAGCATGATGCCCCCAAATGTGAGAGGCGTACTTATTGAATGGATACCGTTTTAGGCGATCCTTATATTCGTCCCTGCTCGTACAGAAGCGGCCCTTGAAGACATCCAATGAGAGATATCTGATACAAACCATTGTAATTTCTGATTCTGCATTCGGGAACCACTGGTCACGAGCCCGATCGAGGTATTCTTGAGTTGTGTAGTGAGCAAGTCGAATGACGCCACTTTTCTTATCAACGGTAACCAATCCAGAACACACCGAGACCATGTCGTTGATCTGGGGGATGTTTTCTTTATTGAGCTTGACATCACCTTCTTCGATTGCTAACGTATGCCGAAGTTCAGATGGCCTGAGAACCCTTCTAGCGCAAGTTACCCACGAAAGAACCTGCATAGCGAGCTCCTTGGAATCTTGGTCTTGACTAGCTATTCTTTCTATGGCATTCTTGTAAGCAATGTCGTATGCTTTCGACCCAGATGAAAGGGCTTTCAATGCATCCTTGATCTTCTTTAGTGTTTTCTTTGTGGAAACAAATTGGAAATGAAGATGTGCGAGGAGGAACCTAGGCAGTTTGTTGTTTCATGATCCAATATGGTGATTTGAGGGGGATTTACATCCCATCCACTGCCTTGGCAATTTCGGTCACGATTACCTCACGATGAGCCTGGAATAGCTGCCCGGATTGCGAGACCTTGCAGCCCAAAAAGCTTCGCGCATCCTCATGATGGGCGCGAATTTCGATCGTTGTGCCTCCTTTCAAGATCTCGGTGATTTCCGGGACAAATCTCGAGGTAGCGAAAACTTTCGCGTTGCATTGGGCCTGGACCTTGAGGATCTCTTCTAGAAACCGGTTTCGGCAACCCTCTGTTGCCTTGAGCTCATCGAGTGCGTCGACGATGATGTAGACCTGAGTAAATAGATCGGCAACAGACTGGACAGTCGCTGAAACCTCTTCAATAGAGGCTTGTGTCCCTTTGTTATAATGCTTCTTGTAGAGACTCTTTACAATTACTGGCATGGAAGATAGATCTTGAACTAACTGCCTCAGAATTCCATGGAGCAGATGATCAACCTTCTGTTCGTCAGACCGTTGGTAATTCCCGTATATATATGCAATCCCGACGGTGTCATTATCTCCAAAGAGGGCAGTAAGTTCATTGATCACTATTGATGTGAGTATTGTTTTGCCTGCTCCAGGAACGCCGGGACAGAACAGTGTCTTCCCTGTGCCGACCCAGTCTTAGAACTCTTTAGATCTTAGAACCCACTTGCCGGTGCCTTCTTGTCGTTGGCTGAAAATGTCACTATGTTGTGTGCCATAGTTAACAGGCGTAAGCCATTCGAGGATATCAATGTCCTCTTTTCTATCGATTTTACGTTTCACTTCTCTAATGTTCGTAGCAGATTTTAAGCAAGTCTCATGAACTAAAGTCTGAGTTAGAACTTGCTATAGTACAGTATTCTCTCATCGACTCACTTTGGCTCAGGATGTTCTTTGCCGTAGGCTCTATCTCACCGTCGCTTATGTGTACTTGGCCTAGCAGTTCTTTCGCAAAGGCAGCTGCTATAGCGGCCGCATGAGCTTGCTAGGCCTTGTTCTTATGCAAATTAGCATAATTGCAGATACCTTGGATAGTAATACATAGGAAGTTATACGCTAGCCCTGCCGCTTCTATCTTAATACATAGGACCTGACTACCTAGATCTCTATTAAGCTTACTACGGAAGATGGAATCTTTAATTACTTTATTTCTAGATACAATAAGTCTATAATATACACGCATCTCTCTAGGCTTCCTCTTTACCGTTTGGTCTATATCGCAGAGGCGAGAGTCGTCTTCTACATTACTCTTATCAGCTTCCTGATCCTCAGTCAAGATAACTGTTCTATCTGCAGTACTCTTATTAATATAGGTATAGTTTGACTTTAATAGTTTATTTTTAAGCGAATCTGACTTGAGGTACTTGGGCGCCAGTCTGGGCCACTTTGCTCCAGTTCCTTTAAGTATTCGGGTATCTGAGAGCCGGTCAGGTCATGCTCTAACTCTACTATAGTCAAGGCTGCTAATAACGCATTCGGCAGACTATTCAACGCCCCAGTCCTCTAAAATGTGCCTCCTTAGTATGCCTTTCCCAGATTGTATCGGACTACGCCTAGAAACGCCCTTTTAGGAGTGCTAACCATGACGTTGCCGAGACGAACCTTAGGGGGGATACTAAGACCGACGTCGACCATGAGGCAAAACTTGATGTTCGGGAAGGTAGATATTATATTAGTGGTAACGGTCGCTGCTAAGACAGTACTGAATTTGCCATTAGGCAGATAGGCGATAACGACACTATGTTTGCCAACACATCCTAGTATGTATGTATTATTGTTGTTCGGAGGCTTTAGGAGACCTGCGTGTCTCTGGTCCAGCATAGCTATCGCCGCGGTCTGTTCGGTGGGCAGAGCGCAAACCCATCTGACGTGATAGTCGTCATGCGTCCGTGGTTCGGGAACCGTCTCCAACGTCATCGTGAAGGGACCACACAGGGCTCTCTGCGTCAGTGAGGATTGACTATAGTTGAGACTAAAGGTTAGTTGTCCATCGTTATAAGGAGAAGAATGGAAATTACTCACCGCAGCTAAGATCAATTCAGTCAAGGAGCGCTGGCAGTGTACGAGTTTAGAGGAGCTGGAAGGAAAGAATAAGTCCTCATCGCGCGGTCTTGGTGCTGAATCAGGCAATCATCAGGCATCAATCGTTCGGCCACCAAATTGCCACCAGTCTCCGAAGTTTGGAGAAAGCAGAAGGTTATTGGTAGTGTAAGCGCTGTGGCGTCCAAACCAGGCTGTGAGAATGACTGCATAACAAGACCTTGCATGTATATCACGTGGTACCAATGGCCAAATCGATGATATCCGTCCCTTAGCTATGAATAACCCGGCTGGAATTAAGTAATTGAGAGGTAGTGACTGTTACTGCTATTGTGGATAAATGATTCCTAGTATTGTTAAGTTTATTTACTATGCAGATTTCCGAGTCCGAATATTAGGGCAGATGGATTAGGCAAATCCGACAAAACGTATTGGCGTTCTTATATGAAGTGGCTGTCTTTTTCGTCTCTTGAGTAGTAGCCAGGATATTTTGTCCTAATCAGGCAATCCTACATAACAGCACACATCAGGCCACCCAGAACTGTAACAGATAGTCAGCATTAGGCACATTCTAAACTATTCGCTAACTTACCGCCAGCAACTGCACTTACAGCAATTCCATTCATAACACCGCCAACAATCTCCTTCATGCACGCTTGAACCTTCTGACGTTCTCTGCGAATCTTCTCAGCGCCCTTTTCGGCCCTGCTCTTTGCTTCAATGCATCCATCGTCAACCTCACCTTGATCTAGCCACTTATGTCCACAGATACCTAACACGCTTTTCAAGCTAGCCTAATATCAATAATTATATTCTTTCTATGCTGTACTGTCTTAGAATAGCTAATCTCTCTTTATCCGAAGGCGTTAGGTTCTGGCAAGGGAGTCTTCTTAAATCCATGCGCCGCATTCTGGATTCGGACAGCCATGAGATTGACTGCTGCTGCTAAGAATGTACCACTCATATTCTCGGCCTCAGTCACAGGTTTGTTGGTGCCAAGGCGAACGTGGTGGCCGTCACATGGAGGAGTGCGACATCTGAATCTAGCCGACAACATTACGTCTTTGGTGCTCGCTTGGCTTTGTCACATTGCGTATGACAACCAAGCGCGGAGGAGACTCTGGTAGGTGTTGGGGACAATATCTAGCGCGAAGTTATGTGCAAGGCCTACGAGAATGCACAGCGCATGGGAAACCCTTACTTTGATTCGCATACAATGAGCTCTGAACTTGAAAAGCCCTCTAGTGCTATGGTATGACACAAGGTCGCAATTCCCAACGGGGAGCATACTCAAACCCTCTTTGTGTACTGCGTTGAAGTGCCTGGGACTCTCAGGTTCTTAGTCATTGATGAAGGAACTACTTTAGCGCCACCGACCTGATCGTCGGGACACGGATCTTCGGCACAGATGTTAGCGCGACTCAGCTGGCGATGCCCAATCATATGCCCCATGAACTCTTCTATTGAGGATGAAGCCAAGGAACAGAGTTTCGATAGATCAGAACCGTTATGGCAAACGGTTAGGCCCACCAGTTGTGATTATTTGGCTTCGGGAATCACGGCTAAGACACGAGATAGGGCATGATTACCAGGGGACCAAGGGTCCTCCTGCTGTCGTAGGTGGCTCTATGCCTCCACTCTCAGCTGTAACCTTGCTGGCTGTGTGTTGCCCATTGTCTGCAATATGGTTGTGTCATCCTCGTGACCGTGGAGTAATTACCCCCTGTTTCCAGTTGCTTATAGAATTGTCTATCAGATAAACTGCATCACTGTCGAGAGAGTTCAATTGTTTGAATAGAAGTATACACTTGGCTGGTCCCCTATTTCTTTGACCCCTGGCATTGCATTCCAGACAGCCATATGCTTAAAGCCTAAGTACTAGCCATAGCGGCAAATAATGAGCCGTCCCCCCATGTGTAATGGTGCATATATGATTTGCCACCAGTTCCGACTGTCCGTTGTGATTTGAGAGCAGTCTTTCCAGATATGACGCAGCCGACACTTTTTCCATTTGAGAGCCGCATCGTTCATATGCTTTTCGACGTCATAGTACACCTTGAATCCGTCTACAGTGGGATACTTCGGACCCTTGAGCCGTCTGGCTGATGCATTACTATGAGTGCTTTTCGGCAGACGTGACGAACGTGGCTGGGAAGGTAGTGGATATGTGAAAGGTGATAAATCTACTCTGCCATGAAGACGTCAGAGAGGCATTCGAAGATCAAAGACAGCAGATCGTCTGCTTCAGTGACCTCTTTTCCTGCATCAGGATAGACATCAGCTCCAATCTTCTTCAACAACAACACGAAACAGTCACTGGCTCACCACTCTAACATATCTCACCAATCTATAAACATATTACATTATCAAAAATGACTCAACTCACCAAAATCCTCATCATCCTGGCAGCCGCCAGCGCAACCCTCAGCGCCCCAACCATGAGACCTCGCCAACTCGCCGGTGAAGGCAGCTTCTTTGACTCCGTCTTCAGCGGCACCGACAACGGTGTCGGCTACGGTGTCGAAAATGCTGAAGACAACGCTGCCACTCTCCTTGGCGGCAAGACAACCACTGGTGGCGGCGGCAGCACCACCAACCCACCTCCTCCTCCACCAAAGGTCAAGAGGCAGGCTGATAAGATTGCCAACGGCGCAGCTACTGATCTGCACGCCGTTGGGCAAGACAAGGCTGCGGACCTTGTCCAGACTGATGGAGATAATATTGATGGGCAGCTTACTCAGGATGCGGCTACTCTTGGAGGTCAGATTGGAGGAGATGAGGAGGATGTTCTTGAGCGCATGGGCGATATGGTTCCCAGCAAGATGCCCACTCGCCGTGCTTGGTTCTTTTAAGCTTTAGTACCAGTTGGAACTGTGTGAAGATGTTAGTGCTTGAGGAGTCTCTGGAGGAGTTACACTGAGGAGAGCGACAAGCGAGTTATTGGATCATGTATTTCTAAAGCAAGCCAGGAGTAGGAAAGCCTTTACATAATAATATCAAATACTATCTGTTGTTACATTCGGTCTCGGGATGTGCTAAACCCCGGATCTGCAATAACTATCCGCTAATGGGATGAAAACGCGGGGAATCTGCCGACTTGCTGATCCGAAATTTTTGGGGACGGCCAACAACGGTATATCATCATGGTCTCTTCAATTCTCGCATACGTAAAGGTCGTGTGATCGCCGCCCTCGTGCTCACTTGAGGTCTTAGACATCATTTCTAATTTATGCCTGGAGCAAGATGAATATCTACCTGTTTGCAATCCCATTGGTGTCGCTGCTCCTCCTCAAAGCAGTCCTGGCCCTCTTTCGGTATTTACGCTCAGACCTGAGGTCCGTTCAAGGCCCTCGTGCCGCTCGATGGACACTCGGTTGGTATACTTGGAAAGTCTTGCAAGGTTCTTTTGAGCATGTTAACCGTGATCTCCACAAGAAATACGGTACGTTTGTTCACATGTCTGCCATTTTCTTGTCATTAACGCCTCAGGCTCTGTCGTTCGCTACGCACCCGACCGCTACAGCTTCAGCGACCTCGAGGCAGTCAAAGTCATCTACGGACTGGGTACTTCGTTTCCCAAGTCCCCATGGTACATACCTTGGGGCATCCCCGGAGATGACAATCTGTTCAACGAGCGATCGTTGGCCAAGCATGCGCACGATCGAAAACAATATCAGTCCACGTACTCCATGTCTTCCCTGGTCAACTACGAAGCCTTTGTTGACGAGTGTGCCGAGCTGCTAAAGAATCGCCTCTCAGAACTATGTGCAGCAGGTCAGGCGGTCGATATGCATCATTGGCTTCAATGCTATGCTTTTGATGTCATTGGTATGATCACTTATGGAAAGCGTCTGGGCTTCCTCGATAAGGGAGAGGACGTAGGAAATGTCATACACGCCTTGGGAGAGATACTCAGCTATTCAACAATCGTTGGCATCGTCTTCCCCACCCTCCACAATATCATTGTTCCGATCATGAACTTCTTTGCAGGGAGTAAGGGACAAGGTGGAGCTTATGTCACAGCTTTCACTAAGGCGAGGATTAGTGAAGCGAAGTCAAATCCCAAGGCTGTGATCCTGGATGACAGCGACACCTCCACGCAGTCTTTTCTGATGAAGTTCCTTGCCAAAAACACTTCGAAGCCAGATGCTTTCACCTCATCCCATGTCCTAACCGGTTGTGTTATCAACATGGTCGCAGGATCCGACACAACTGGCATCAGCCTCTCAGCTGTGCTGTACTATCTTCTCAAGAACCCCTCATGCATGGAAAAGCTACGAGAAGAAGTAGATGCTTTTACTGCCAACGGCCAGATATCGACTTATGTCACTTATAAAGAGAGCCAGGCAATGCCGTACCTGCAGGCTGTGATCAAGGAAGCCTTGCGGTTACATCCAGCCACTGGACTACCCCTTGAGCGCGTGGTGCCTAAGGGGGGTGCTACCATTTCAGGGCGTTTCTTCCCAGAGGGTGCGATTGTCGGGATCAATACTTGGGTTGCGCATAGAGACCGCGGTGTCTTTGGACAAGATGCGGATTCATTCTCGCCCGAGAGATGGCTGCAAGATGATGAAGAGCGCGTTGCTTTGATGAATCGATTCTGGATACCTGTAAGTTCACCCTCCAACCTTTGCAAGCCAATTCGATCTGGGTCGCACGTCGACTTGGCAACTGAGTGTCTTGAGATGGACGTTTCACTAACGAAATCTCCTCGTAGTTTGGCCTTGGGTCTCGTACATGCATCGGCCGCCATATTTCCATGCTCGAGATGTGCAAACTCGTTCCTGCTTTGATTCGGGACTTTGAGTTTACTTTGGATGATAATTTGCTTCATAATGAGTGGAAAACGCAGAATTACTGGTTTGTGAAGCCTCTTGACTTTCAGGTCTGGGTAAAGCCAAGGACTAGTTCAGGGTAAAGTAACACAAATGTGCACAAGTTAATACAGGATATGCACAAGGCGCACAAGTTATGCTCAGTTAATGTAGGCTAGTCTATGTTTGTCTGAGCACCCCCGCTCCTTGATCGGAGGTTGATTAACCCCATGGGGAAATGCTCGGAATCCTGTCAATGACTGCTGCATCACAAGAACAATTATTTTATTTAAACCCGAATCCAATGCTTCCCGTTGAAAGCCTGTAATCATCTCTCCAGACCCGTCTCTTTATTCTTCAGTCTCTGTGTATAGCGTCTATTGCATCTTCACAATGACTCTTCTACAGACAACAACACTAACCCCCAAAGCCGACCGTAGGTTTCCCGTCTTATCGCCGTTATCAGCACTGACAAGCCCAGCAATCGTCGTGGACGGCACGTCATTTGCGCTCAACGGCAAAAATGTCTCCTATCGCTTTCACGTCGATCCCGCGACTGGTGATCTTCTGCTCGATCACTTTGGCGATAGAGTAACAGAAAATCCCATCGCTCAGATCATGTCCAACGGCGGTGGCTGGTCGACTCAAGCTCATCTCCGCCGTGAATTTCCAGACCTGGGTCGTGGAGATTTCCGCACTCCTGCTGTACACATCAAGCACGCCAAGGGCTTCACAGTGTGTAACTTCAAGTACAAATCTCATACAGTCGTCAAGGGTAAACCTGCGATTAAGAAACTGCCCAGCACATTTGGCTCAGATGACGATGTTTCAACACTGATTATCCATCTGGACGATGAGTATAGCTCTGTTGGCGCAGACTTGTCATACTCTATCTTTCCCAACTTTGATGCGATCGTGCGAAACGTCAAAATCATCAACAAGAGCGATGATGTCATTACTGTTGAGAAGTTGTCCAGCTTCAGCGTTGACTTTCCTCATGAGAACTACGAGATGTTGCAGTTGCAGGGCGAGTGGACCAGAGAATGCAACAGAACTCGCCGAAAGGTCGAGTATGGACTTCAAGGGTATGTAACCTGTTCAACGTAGAGTCTTCAAAGCTAACACTGGTACAGATTCGGAAGTACTACTGGCTACTCGTCTCATTACCATAACCCATTCTTGTCCATGGTATCCCCAACAACAACCGAGTCCCACGGCGAAGCTTGGGGTTTCTCCCTCGTCTACACCGGCTCGTTCAGCGTTGAAGTTGAGAAGAGTCACCAAGGTCTCACTCGCGCCCTCGTTGGAATGAATCCTTGTCAGCTTTCCTGGCCGCTGAGATCGGGCGAGTCACTGCAATCGCCAGAATGTGTTTCCGTCTTTTCCAACCTCGGTATTGGCGAGATGTCGCGGAAGTTTCATCGTCTATATCGCCAGAACCTCATCCGAAGCAAGTTTGTTTCTGAAGAGAGACCTGTTTTGCTGAATAGTTGGGAAGGTCTGTACTTTGACTTTGACGACAAGACCATCTATAAACTGGCGCAAGAGTCAGCCAAGTTGGGCGCCAAGCTCTTTGTGCTTGACGATGGATGGTTCGGTGACAAGCATCCTCGTGTCAATGACCATGCTGGACTGGGCGATTGGGTCGCAAATCCCAAGAGATTCCCGAGTGGTTTGGATTCTCTTGCCAAAGACATTACCAAGTTGCAAGTCAAAGATTCGGACGAGAAGCTGCAGTTTGGACTGTGGTTCGAGCCTGAGATGGTCAACCAGAAGTCTGAGCTTTATGAGCAGCATCCTGAGTGGGTTCTGAGCGCTGGAAACTACGCTCGTAGCGAAACTCGCCAGCAGCTGGTCCTAAATGCTGCCCTCCCAGAAGTTCAAGACTTCATCATCAGCTCAGTATCCAAGATCTTGGAGACAGTTCCAGTCAGTTATGTCAAGTGGGACAATAACCGAGCGATGCACGAAAGCCCCACGCCAGACAACCACCACGCATACATGCTCGGTATCTACCATGTCTTTGACGTGCTAACAGCCCGATTTCCCGATGTCCTCTGGGAGGGTTGCGCATCTGGTGGAGGTCGCTTCGATCCTGGCATCTTGCAATACTTCCCGCAGGTTTGGACTTCAGACAACATGGACGCTTTCGATCGCATCCACATTCAGTTCGGTACATCTTTGGTGTACCCACCTTCGACAATGGGCGCACATGTCTGCTCTGCACCAAACGATGTGACTGGACGCTCGATCCCAATGAGCTTCAGAGCCCATGTCGCGATGATGGGCGGTTCATTCGGTTTTGAGCTGAACCCTGACCATACTCCTGAGGAAGACAAGGCGCAGATCCCGGAGCTGATCAAGCTCGCGGAGAAGATCAACCCCATCATCATCAAGGGAGATATGTGGCGGTTGGTATTGCCCGAAGACTCCAACTTCCCAGCTGCGATCTTTGTATCAGAGGACGGAAGTCAGGCGGTTTTGTTTGCGTTCCAAATCAGAGCAACTACTGTTCTCAATTATCCTCTACTTCGACTAGCTGGACTTGACCCAGCGGCGAGATATAAGCTTGATGGTGGGGAGACGTACTCGGGCGCGACATTGATGAATGGAGGAATTCAGTTCAGATTTGGTACAGATTATGACAGCAAGGTTGCTCTACTGGAGAGGGTATAATTGAGTCGGGTAGAAGGCTATGTAAAGATATCAAGGACACCAGAAGTTGACGCGAAATGGAAAACCCAAGCACGAGCATATTAGATAGATTGTCAACATGAAGCACGCTTTTTCACATCAGTTGAAAGAAAGTCCGATCTCGGGATCAAACTGGCCACACGATATCGTCGCATCCTCCCAACTCGTCGTCACCACAGGCGTACTCAAGTCCAACAGGTCGAGATTACCATTTGGAACCCAGCCCAACGGGTCCACGGGCTGTTCATCTTCGGGCGACAGTTCCTCAACAATCGCTAGCCTCTCATCATTTGCTGCCTCTTGCATATCCCACGGCAGATCGAGATGCGCGTTAGGATCTGCAAGGGCAAACAATGTCTCTGAGTGCTTGAGAAGATTGGGCAACAGGTGAGACTGTGCGCCTCGAACAGCTGATAGAGCATGGATCACGACGGAGAGTAAATCACGAGGGCCATTTTCCAGGGCAGAGTATGTCCAGCCGGGGAGTTGGGCGGTATCTGCGAGACTGACGCCGACATCGAAAAGCTTTTGTTCCTACAAAATGTCAGTATGCCATGAGCAGTCAGAAACAACAATGAGTCTTACCATCCCGATGCCATGGCAATCTTTCGACTTTGTTCCAACGGAACTCAAGGCAGACATGATGATCTTGCCTGCATCCATCGGAAGTGAAGGTGGCAGAAGTAGCCCAAAGCCAGACGCCGACGATGGATTCTGACCAAACGCAATCCTCCACATTGATATTCGAAGCCACTGCTGAGTGATGAGCGTATCGAATCGTTGACTCTCGATAATTGATTGGTCTGGCTGCACACTGCAGAGCTTCTCGTTGATGGTATTTACAAGCTTCAAGTCATCGAAGCGCTGATCGTCACCCTCGGGCTGCCATTCGTACAGTGAATATGGGAGAGATTCGAAGAGGCGAATGTGGTTTATAAAGTCGTGCATCACTACAGGGCAATTTGAGTCGACGATTTGGGGCTTGTTGACCGTGCTTCGGAGCATGACTGATCTTCTATGCTGGAGAGCAAAGGTTCTTAAGCGCGTTAGTCTTGGGATGAAGCAATGCGTGGGCGGGCTAACCTTTCTGTAACAAAGAGTAGCCAAAAGACGCGTCGTCTCTTCTCGCGTTGTTCAGCGGGTAGACCATGATAGCCAGACTCTTTTGTCAGGTCGAGCGACTGAGCGAGAGTAATGCTCTGGTTGAGATAGAACCAGGCGTGACGCGGGTCGTTGAGATTGCCATAACTTGCAAATAGGAAGAAGGAGACGAGCACTGAGTCGAGAGTTGTATCATCTATCACGCTGTATTGGCGGAGTGAGGTCTCAGCCAGGTTGACGAGCATGTCTCCCGTTAAGCGTGGCTCGGCTGGAATTTGCGCATTCAGGTCATTCTCACAGTTGTCGATCCTCTTGTCAAGCCGGAGTTGCATTCTTGTTGCGGCACATATTGCAAGGATTAGAGCGTATCTGGAAGGTGGTATGTCGTCTAGTCGAGCTGCATCGGCGAGGATGTCGTCGTCAACAACTGGCATAATGGGGTAGAGAAACCTCTGGAAGAGTCGTATGTGAGCAACGAGTGATAGCGACATGCGTTTGCAGAGGTCTCCAGTATCGATAGTCGCGTCATTGGGTGGTGTTGTCGAGTCCGACTCTGGTTCTGGCTCTGGCTGTGGAGCAGAGTCGATGTTTGTTGGTGGAGATGAGAATGACTGGGCGTTGGGCTGAGGGTCTGTTGAGGCATCTTCACGACTATTACTGGCTGACCCAGGCGGCGCTTCCGATGTGAGTATCTGGAATTGATACTCATCAATACCCAGACCCTGTCTCAGCTGCGTCTGTCGTCTCCCTTGACCCTGCTTTGGGCCCTTCCTCCGAATGCTGTGGCGATACTGGCAACGGAGGTCTCCGATGTGACAGTTCTTACAGGGCAGGCCGCGATCACACTTAACCTTGCGGAATCGGCAGTTGTCGCAGACCTGGCCGCGCTTTACCGGGATAGTCGACATTGTCACTCTTAGATCCGGGGCTTCGGTTTCGTTGAATGCTTAATGGAGATATAGTCGGCAGATCCAATTCTTTTTCGCCAGCGTCATTTCTCGTGACTCTCGGTCCGATATATCAAGCGATGAGGGGTATCCACCGCAAACTGGCCATTCTCGAGGTCACGATGGGCCCCCGGGCTAAGCATTCTTTCAAGTGAGGGGCTATGCCGAAAGGGGTAATGTTCGGACTGTAACATTGAACCCCCATGGGGCGGTTTTCGGTTCCCCATGGGGGACTTGGGAACACAAGCGATTGGGAAACATGCGAGAGGAGGATTCAATTGCTCCAGTATATAACCTCAAGATGCGTTGCTGATCAGTTCGAGATCTATTCCATCAGACACTCATCAGCTCATTCATCTACTCACAAACATCAACTCTCAATCACAATGGGCAAAGAGATCATCAACCCTTCGGTTTCACACGCCGAAAGCTACGATGTCGAGGCTTCAGTGGCAAAGACTGTTGGCCACGATACCACCGATCAAGCTCGTCTCGGTGCCCAGGCCGAGCATGACCTTCCTCCTTTCGAAGCCGTTCGCAAGTATCCCTGGACTGTTATCTGGTGTCTCGTCGTCTCCATGTGCGTCATCATGGAGGGCTACGATACCAATCTCCTCTCCAACTTCTACGCCTATCCCGCCTTTGCCAAGAAGTACGGCCATTGGAACGAAGAGACCAATAACTATCAGCTCTCTGCTCCTTGGCAAGCTGGTCTCGGTAACGCTGCTGGAGTTGGTTCATTTTTTGGAACTCTTCTCAACGGTTACCTCGTCACCAAGTATGGTCACATCAAGGTCCTCATTGGCTCCTTGATCTCTCTCAGCTGCTTCATCTTCATCGTCTTCTTCGCTCCCGACACCAAGGTCCTCCTCGTTGGACAGATCCTCTGCGGTTTCCCCTGGGGTGTCTTTGCGACGACGGCGCCAGCCTATGCTTCTGAAGTTCTTCCTATGTCGCTTCGAGTTTACATGACCAGCTGGACCAACATGTGTTTCATCATCGGACAGCTTATCTCTGCTGGTGTCATGGCTGGCCTTGTCAACACTCCTGCTCCTTGGGCATATCGCATCCCCTTTGCGCTTCAGTGGTTCTGGCCCGTTATCCTGGTGCCTATTTTCTGCTTTGCTCCCGACACTCCCTGGCATCTTGTTCGACTTGGCCAACACGACGAAGCCCTCAAGAGCCTTGCCCGACTTCGACCTCGTGCTACCGACGCTGAGCTCCGCGATGCTCTTGGACTCATTGTCTATACCAACAGCCTCGAAGAGCAGCTTTCCGTCGGCACCTCATACCGTGACTGCTTCAAGGGCTTCGAACTCCGACGAACCGAGATTGCCATCGTTGTATTCGCTGGTCAGATTCTTTCTGGTCTCAACTTTGCTTATAACTCGACCTACTTCTTCCAGCAGATCGGCCTCGACTCTAATACTACCTATCATCTCAACGTTGGCGGAAACGGAATGGCCCTGTTTGCTACCTTGGTCTCTTGGTTCTGTGTCATGCCATACGTTGGAAGACGTACAGCCTATCTTTATGGTATGTTCACCATGGCCACTATCCTCTTCGTCATCGGCGCTCTCAACACCCGCACCGAGAACCATTCCATTGCCATGACCCAAGCTGTTCTCACTCTCGTCTGGACCTTTGTCTTCCAATTGTCTGCTGGTCAGCTCGGCTGGGCTCTTCCTGCTGAGATGGGCTCAACCAGACTCCGACAGAAGACCATCTGCCTCGCCCGCAACGGTTATGCCATCACTGGAGTTGTTGCTGGTGTTCTTCAGCCTTACTTCATGAACCCTACTCAGTGGAACCTTCGAGGTTATACCGGTTTCATCTGGGGAAGCACTGCTTTCATCGTCTTTGTCTGGGGCTACTTCCGTCTCCCTGAGACCCGAAACCGCACCTTCGAGGAACTTGACATTCTCTTCGCCAAGGGTGTTTCCGCACGCAAGTTCAGCTCCTACAAGATCGACTCTTTCGAGGAGGCGGACAGCGCTGTTCATCAGACCGAGAAGGCTTAGTCTTTGTAGCCACGGAACTGGGAAGAGATGTCCATATATGAGGTTACGGAATGGAGTTTGGGTTGAAGGGAAGGGAATCGGTTTAGCTGGTGGATTGGCAAAATGAGTTATGATTAAGTTCTAAGAATATGATTATTCTGCAATACGAGCCGTTTTGTGCCTAAAGTGATCAATGGCCAAGTTTATAATGATACTAACAGACGAAGAAGCCATCATTCCTCAACATCTCTTTCGGTTGTCTCATGTTCGCCTATCGTGATTCGAGGTCCTTCGAAGTTCTTTCTTCCATCTACAACCCACTGAACGGCCGATATTACCACAATGACACCAAATGCAACCACACAGTAGTTCATCGTAGTCCCACTAACAGGTAATGCTGGGGGGAATAGGAAGAGAACGGTAGTGACGATAGTATACACCAATCCAATAATGTTTGTTGTCCATCCAAGCCAGTTGGGTAACTTGAAAGCTCCTTCAGGCAATTGAGTTCGACCACTCGCAAGGTGAAGGGCGATGGGGATGCCATAGCTGAGACCAAGAGCTACCACAGAAGACGCAACGATGGCGTTGAAGGCGACAGTAGAACCTAAGTAGATACAGCCAAAGATAACCACAATCACAACATTGAGATATAGGGCGTTCATGGGTACACCAAGCTTGGGGTGAACCTTCCACCAGATGCGTGATGCTGGGAGTCCCCCGTCTCTTGCGAATGCGAACATCATGCGTGATGAAGTCGTCATGACTGCTATGGCAGCAAATACCAAGCAGAGAAGGGGGAACATAAGCAAGCAAATAGCTCCGACTTTGCTGTTGGTGGCCAGGTAGAAGATCTCAAGCAAGGGACCGGCAGTCGAGCCAATGATGGTATCGGCGTTCTTGATACCTCCAGACACGAAGAGGACCACAATGAGAAACAGGAAGCCAGTCGAGATGCCGATATACTGACAGTATAGCATAATCTTGGGGCCCTCGCTGGCTGCATTGGGGATTTCTTCAATCATGTGAGCAACAGCATCAAACCCTGTAAGTCCAAGTCCTCCTTGCAAGAGACCAAGGAGCCAGGCGATACCGTCTGGCCAACCAGTCGTGTTGATAAAGGTAGCGAATACGTAATCGGCCGTGGCATAATCTGGCGCAGCGCATGCTAGCACTGTAATAGAGATGACGAAGAAGCCGGCGATACTCCAGACAAGGGCAAGACCGTTGATGCGAGGGAGCAGAGAGTGTAGAAACGCATTGGTTGCGAAGGCAATAAAGGCGATGCCGAGATAGATGAGGAATTGATGCCATCTCTGGAACTCGTAGCTGGGATTTTGGAGCGAGATGATGTTTATGATGAGAGTGCTCGACAAGGAACAGTTCGTCGCAACCAGACATGCCCAGCCACTCAGATTGATCCAACCCGTAATCCAAGACAGTGGGATCTTCAAAGATTTAGGGGCAATAGTGGCAACCCAGTGATATTGTCCACCAGAAGTTGGCTGTGCTGACAGGAACTCGGCTAGACTTGCAGCAAGCGAGAGATTGCAGATACCAGCTGTGACCAGTCCCCAGATCACGGCGACAGGTCCACCTGATGGTAGAGCGAGTGACAGTGATGCTGCGAGTGCAGTCCAGGAGTTGAGGATAGCAAAGGCTAAGCCCAGCATTGTCCAGCGACTAAAGTTGCGCTTGAAGGACTGGGAATGACCCAGTTGAGCGAGTTGGTAGTCATCGAGGTTGGTGGTCGGTTTGACATCCATTGTGTCAGATGCATCAAGAGGAAGAAAATGGTCAGAATATTACTGGAGGGTCGATAGAATGCCTGGGAACTGCCTCGATTATAAACCTCTGATCGCTCCATTCCTGCCACAACGGTCCCAGCGCATGCTGTCAGATCAGCAGCTATCGATATCGGCCGAAGCTAACTCGATTCAATCGCGGGGAAGAAATCCTCAAACCTCATTCGACAATCAAGCAGGTTTTCCGTTTGCGCCCTCCGACTACGCTCCGTTTTCACAGGATAAGGATCCAACGTTATCATTCCCGTGCGGAGAACCCTCGTCTGACTGAATGCTTGTGATCATGGTTTGGAGATAAGAGGCTGAGATGCCGCCACTTGATTCGTCTGATTGTCTCGCTGGTGAAAAGTTGCTAGTCAACTGCTCGAAACGGTAAGAGATTGGGCCACCCTTGACAGCTGCACGTCGGTGAGATTGATGATTATCGATATAATCTTGAGCGTTTTGGGAAGTTTAAGGGAGACGCTCTTAGAATAGACTTGCATCAGATTGAAGTATTCTCCGATTGGGCACAATGATATCAATCTCGGCGAACTCCCTTTCTATCCTCAGGCACTGCACTGCGACGGTCGATAGGGGAATAACGGTTGTCGTAACTGTAGGCTCCGTATTGGTATCCACCACCGTTTTGAGTGCCGAAGCATTGACTGATGATGTTCTCAACCGCATCATAGTGCGACTCCTGAGATATTCTGGGAACCTAGTACTCAAAATGACATTCATTTGCTTGCAGTCGTTCTGGTAAATTCATTCCCAACTTACATCATCAGCATCAGAACTGTAGAATGCGTCGATCTGACCAGTTGCCATTTCAATTGGTGTAAGCTTCGACGCCTTTTCTGCCAACCCTATAGCATCAGTCATGGGCCGGCGGAGGTCAGGAATCATTGACCCTGCTAGATGTTCTCTGGGATAGATATTTATCTGAAGACATAATAATTATATAGATGTGTTGGAGTAGCTGCAACCTTTCGGGTTTATAGTTCTACAGAGCGCTTAACAATGGAGTGATCTCATTCGGCAGTTGTCTGCTGTGAAATCCTTTAAAGGGCACGTTTGTGCTTGGCAGCACTTGGCGAAGAAGCTTGTTTTCCCCGCCCCCCTTGTGAGCGATCACTTTTCTCCATTCTTGGAATATAGATAAGTACTTACGTGGAACTTACAGAAATTCTGCAGCCTTGTTATCTTGTTCAGTTACAGTTCAACACTTCGACTCCCTAGGTCTTATTAGAAACAATTAAGAGAAAAAGCCCTGGCTTTTTGGGAATCCCCTTGTTGCCGTGACAGGACCGCGGAATGAGCGGAATAAGCGGAATAAGCGGAATGAATGGCATCTACTCCGTACTCTGTAACGTTAGTCTACTTATAGCATAGCACACCAGGAAGCTAAGTACAGAGTACCTCTGTAATGCTAACTATTATTTTAAGCATTTTAGTAAGCATGACCTTATTATTGCAATCTGCATCCTGCTGGCAACCCCATCTAGATGACAATCTGGCTCGCATGGAAAGGTCCGGGAAGTACGCGGGTTTGAATCGCGACGCCTGAACAGAGTATCTTCTGCCCTCTCTTCCATTGGTCAAATAAGCGAATGTGGCTTGAGACTCATTTCCTTTGAGATTCTTCAAACCCTTAGAGATAAGGCTAGACTTACCCCAGTCCAGCGCTGTCCCAGGTATTCGGGTAGTCTTTGGGCCCTGACTCTTGCAAGTGTCAGATGTGGAGTGTTTCCCCTTATGCCGTTGTTCCAGGCCAAGACTAAACTCAGCCCTGGAAGACGGCGTGTACTGGTTCAACAAACCAGATCAAATAGCATCACGAATTACTCGTTGCGAATTGCGAAAGGGTCCGAGTGACACTAGGATGCAATGCCGTCAATGCCGCGGTGGGGCGGAGGCGTCCCTTATCTTCCAAGTACCAAGCTTTTGAAGCTTTTGGTAACCAACGAACAAGAACACTGAGATAACCAGCTGCTGGAAAACCCTTCTGAACGCAAGGTACAAAGGGCGTTGATATCATCATCTGCTTCATTCATCCACTGGATCAATCAAGATACCCCTGCCACTCCTGATCCCATTGGTACTGGCTCACTTCTGTCAATGAGGCCATTCACGTGGCTGCAATAGTTTGTTCCTCTAACCAAGCCTCACGACGGTAGTTCGCAGTAGCCCAGACACACTGAAGACACTAAGCTTAGCCTGCATCAATGGCAGACCTCTCGCGAATAACGATGAAATGTTCGGGTTGCACGTCAACGCTAAGCTACGCCCATGCTGCATGGATTGGTCGTGAGGTTTCCTCATATCAGCCATATGACAATCATTACTGGCTGGCAATATTCTGGAAGCTGGTTGGGGTGGATGCTGCGTAGGGGATGCCACACAACGGTCAGAGGCCCCAAAAGTCTGCGCGTCGCTTAGAATCCGGTAACGTCAAGATGAAAGTAACTAAGCTCACGAGTTTACAGCCCACATGATAAAACCGAAAGTGAGAAGTTTTGAGTAAACATGGCCAATTGACTCTAAATTAAATACCGCTCGCTTCCTTCAACATCTCGCATGGTGTAAAGCTAAATTGCAAACACTAGTCATGCTACCCTCTCCCCAAAACGCCACACTAGCGATAACGGGCGTGGACTGACTCGAGAAAGATGGAGGTCGCTTTACTCGAATTGAAATGGTTCAGCCTGTTCACTCTCAACTGGGAATTAACAAACGTCTCTACATATATGCCCATGGAACTTTTGTTCAAATGATCTGCATCCTTCGTCATTTCTCTCCATTCCTTCATGAACTTTTGATCTGAGACAGTTTGAGTTGCCCATTATGGCCCAAGCTTTCCCCATCTATCTGCCTCGGCAACGGGAGCTGATCGCGACGTGGGTCATTCTGCCCATGCTGGCGAATATTACGGTTGGGCTTCGGTTTTACGCAAAGTCCAAAACGAGAGGCGTCTATGGGTGGACTGACTGGATGATCATACTATCTGCCGTACGTCAACTGGTCTTCTGAAGTATCCATCATGATATCCGTGTTCTAACATTCTCGGCAGTTCTTCACTTCTCTCCTTTTTATCCTCCTCCTTCTGAGTACGTCTCCTCGTCTTCCCCATAAATTCGACAGAACAAGCTCCGCCGAACCTCGATGGCTGATATGTATCTCGTGAACAGTGCTCGTATATGGAGGCATTGGCATCCCTGGATATCCATACACTAGTACTACGGAGCCAACCGACGTTTCGTTGATTCACGATCAGGTACGCCCCGTATAATAAAGCTTCTTGCGCTCTGTTGGCTAATAAAGCTTTGGCTCATCAGATTGGCTATGCCAACAACATCGTCCTCGTCTTCGCCGTCTACTCCTGCAAAGCCTCGATCCTTTTCCTATATCACCGCCTCTTCACGGGTCACAATGGCCCAATGACGGTTATTATTTACGTTGCATCGGGCATCACCTTTGCATGTTTCATGGGAAGCTTCATTGGCTATCTCGCAGCTGTTCGGCCTATTGAGAAATGGTGGGCTTGGGGCGATGCGACGGCGGAGCAGTTCCTCGCCATGGCCAACATCAACATCGCCTATGACAGTTTGACGGTATTTACCGACTTCTTGATCTTTGTGCTCCCACTAAAGTCAATCTGGGGGCTCAACATGAATCGGGGGAAGAAGATTGGTATTATTATATCCTTTTGCTTTGGGTTTATGTAAGTGGCCTTTTCCCCTGACACATCATATACCCCTGAGCTCCTGCCCATCAGATCGTTATTAACGATAAATAGCACCTGTTTTATTGCTCTTGCTCGTGTCGTGTTCACACATGGGTACCAATGGAAGAATCTCTATGATGAAGGAACTGTGTGGTCCCTTGCAGGCGTCGAGCCAGTGGCAGGTATCATCTGCGCATGTCTCCCTGGCCTGCGACCACTGATGCCCAAGACATTTAAGATGACTTCTTATGGCACTCCGGCCAACCCGAGCAGATTCAGGACTACTGGCACCACAGTGACGGATAATGTTAAGAGGAGTACTAACAGGGAGCCCAATCCATTCAGGGTCCTGAATGATGACAGCTCGGTGACAGAATTCCGACGAACTGTCAGAGAGGTCCCTTCGAGATCAGAGATAAGCGATGAGTACATTGAGCTTGAAGAGCAGAGGCCCAAGGCTTTTGATACATAGCGAGGAATTTTAGAAGATGACCTGAGACATGTATATAATTTACTTTATTTTTATTGATGACTGAAGCCTTACATCATGTACACCAAATTGTTTACTCAAGCCAAGGCTTCCCCTGCTCGGGGATGAACTCATACCCAAATGGGACAAGACAAACGTAGGTAGGAGCAAGATTTTGTCCACACTATCGGCCACTTGAACATGAGAAACTCAAGCAGCCCCAGCAACAAACCAGTATAAAATAAATGACTTGACATACTCTGAATAGCTACAGACTAATAATGATTAAACAGGCAAAACGACCTTGACTCCCATTTACTCTCGTTGATGCATGAGCTTTCCATCAATCAGAACCTGATGAGCACCAACTCTGTTGTTCACAGTATCGGTAGGATCCGTACACGTCGCGATCTGGATCTCGCGCCATTCTCGGTTGGTGGGAACAAGCTTGCCCTGCTGCGTACGCTTCTTGAACTCGGCGTACACTCCTTGCTCTTCGACGCAGCCCTCGCGTTGGATAAGGGGAGATTCTATCCCATAGTTAGTAAGGTGAAGTCGGGGAAATTGTTGCTGTTAGCTTACCAGCAGCTGGTGTCATGCGCAAGTCACCGACTGAGCTGTTGAACAGCACTAATGAGAGGCGCTCGTAGTTGTGCTGATCAACAGGGGGCTTGTAGACACGGTGACGAGTGGCCTTGAAGTGTCCCCCGGAAACGATCTCGAGAGTATCACCGATGTTGACGACGAGGGCACCCGGCTTATAAGGGGCATAGTACCACTTCTCATCCTGGCCCCAGATCTGGAGACAAGAGACAGGAACAGAAAAGAGCAGAGTGGTGAGACCAAAGTCAGTATGACCATGCATGCGAAGACCCTTGGAAGCCTCTTCTGTGGTTTTCTGCACAGGTCTGAAGAGCGCATGCCTGAAGTAACCCTCTCCAGTTGGGCTGCCGTGTGACTGGACGTTTTTACAAAGGTAGTCGTCTGGGAGCTCGAGAACGCGGGAGAAGAGAGTCAGGAGGCGACGGTTGACCGAACCAGTGAGGTAATTGGCAAAGGCCTCGATCTCATCCATGAAGGGATGGAGGCAGGTAGGGACACGGTTGATGTCCTCCCAGTCGGGTCGGTACCAGTTGAACTGCTCAATGCCATCGGGAGGTCCACGATGACGCTGTTGAACGGGATGAGTTAGTGAATTGGCACAATTGAATAAGGTAATAGATCTACGGCGGGAAAAATGCTTACCTTGAAGCCAAAAGGATGTTTGTAGCCAGACCAGACACCAGAGTCAGGGTTGAAGAGAAGACGTTCCTTGTCCTCCTCCGAGATGTTGTGGTACATGTACTGGGCGATAGCGAATTGGCGATGGAGCTGTAGTATAAGTCGTCAGATATAGTGGTTTTATGTCGAGTGCATTGTACCGTACTTGTTCTAGCGAGATGCCATAGTTCTCAAGGAAGAGGAACCCATCCTCGCGAATAGCTCTCTTGACTTGGCTAACCAACTCTTGCACAACAGCAGGATCATCCGAGTCGAGCATGGAAAGATCAATAGACGTGAGTTCTGTAAATTGCTCCTTTTGCTGTGTCGCTGGTGGGGGAATCCACTCAGGGACGAACGGCTTGCCAGGCAATTCGGCTGAAGGGGGACTAAATGGGGCTGCCGGAGACATGTTGAGATCTTCAAATAATGTTTAGATTGAAAGATACTTGT